CGCAACGGGAAACGCTGCCTCCCTCCTGCTCGCCGACCGTCTGCGATTAGGGTTTCCTTTTAAGCTTCCCAGGGCGGCAGCACTGCTCAGGAGCTCACGAGCTTAAAATACAGCCAGGCAGGGAACTACCCTTTCCCGGAGCGGGGGCCGACTCCTCCGAAGCCCCACTGCAGCAGCGAGAAAAGCCCTCTCTGATGGGAGATGGCTCCTGCGCCGCTCGTACTTCGCACTTTACCCCATCCAGGCTGGTATTTTGGGACTGCTCCGGCAGCCGGTGCTGCACGGTAGGATAGGCAGGGGAAGGAACTGGCTGAACTTGTTACACGGGTGATATTTGGAAAGGCTGATTAGTAAGTGGCATGTTAACACCGTGTCCAGTCTTTCAGGAACGCATCCAGGATTCATTAGGGGAGCAGTCGTTAGGTGAGTCACTCCGCGGCCATGCAGATTTAGCTGGGATTTCGAGATGAAATGACCTGTAATTGCATATTAGTAGAGGGATGCTTAAAGTAATCAGGTGTTCCAGCCCCGCCACCCCGCCAGCTATGGGGGGAAGGAGGAGGGCGTGATGCGTCCAGCCCCTCCTTGTATTACAAGGCAGAAATGTAGGCCACACAAACACTCGCTGCTTTTCCTTTGAAGACAGGGTGACACTGCTCTTGCTGAAATCGCGTTTTGATAGGGGCAAGATAAGCAGGGTAAATACGCTGCGGTGGCAGGACAGGGCAAGGATCGGCCGGGGCTCCAGCGCACGGGATGCTGCCGACGGCTCCGTCGGCTGAGCCCGGCAGCTGGCCCCATGCAGAACTAACCCTTTTGCAGCTGGAAAGGCCGGCAAGCTCCGCAGAGATTCCCCCTCCGTCACCAAAGAGAAATCTCCCTCTCTGGCCAGAAAGCAGAGCTGGGAGCAGCCTGCTCATACTTGGCGAGGACACTCGGGAAAAATGATGTGAGCTTTCAGAAGTAAAAATGCACGTTCTCTCTTGTTGTGCCAGCGAGAGATAACGCATGACGCATCACCCTACACCTCCCCTGGCACGGCTCCATCGCCAAAACCACGGTCCCGTCCAGAAATCCTCGGCTCCTGCGAGCACCACCTGTGCAACTGCTGGAGGATGCCGAGAGATTTTTGCTCTCCTAAGAAAACATGGCTTTGCAATGGCTCTGCCTATAATCCCCGTAATAACTTTAGATCCCAGCAGCTGATTGCAATCAAACTTGTCAGCGATGTCAAGTTCCTGCAAGCTGCGGCAGGGGGATGCAGCCAGCGCCTGGAGGAGGGAGCAGCAGCCCGACCTCCGCTCCCCGCCGCTCTCCGC